GTGTGCCAAGCCATTTGCAGTCAGAGTTTATAGGTGAATACAAAGAGCCCACGGTGAAGTTTTACTGAGCTGAAGTACAGTTGTAAACTGAAACTGTACTCAGTATGTTACTATACGATATGCAGCACTGGTACTAATTATTACCACAAGCTGTGTCCTTGAATGAAGGGAAAAAAGCCAAACCCAACAAAAGGCAAAAATGCAGCTTCATAATAGCTTTCCTAAAATTAAGTCTGAAGAATCCATTAAAAAGTATTAGGGGTGCACCAATAAAGATTTTTTTTTGGCCAGTATGGCTGACTATTAACCAGGCATATTGGCCGATACCAATATGATAGCTGGTTTATAGGATTGCAGCCCCACAGCTTAGAGACCAGCATCTGGCTGGTAAGTCTGTGGCGGGAGAAGGAATGTGGGGGAGGGAAGGCACATGGAGAGGACATATTGAGGCCCTGACGGTGAAGGAGGGAATGGGGCAGGGGTAGGCACTGCCCAGGCAGGACGGTGAATGTGACCCTGGGGCCAGGGTCACATTCGGCCCCTCCCATACCCCGCCGCCAGCTTACTGGCCAGATGCTGCTTGCCAAGCTGTTGGCCTGCATTCCTGGCCATATGCACGTGGAATTTATTGGTGACATTATCAGCTACACTGGCCCAAAAAAGCCAATTGCTGATAACGTTAATTTTCCTTTTATTGGTGCCAATCCAATACGTGACTGATATATTGGTGGACCTGTAAAAAAAAAAAAAAAAAAAAAAAAAAATGCAGAGCAGTTGTTATTGAGAGAGAGTGATGATTAAGGGCCTTTAAGCAGGGCCTTTAAGCATAAACAGCTCTCAATTTTTATTTAATGCCTAAATATTTTGGTGATGTGTGTATTGGGGGTATTTTATTGCTAGATTAAAAACAGCTTTAATACTAATGACTCTTTGGAAGTGTAGAGTACCTCTGAAAATCAAGCCATTTATTAAAAGAACAAGAGCCCTTAAACCTTGCCAGCCATACTGATACCACTTGACAAGTAACATATCTTCAGTTCATTAATAACTTGATAAAAGTTTGTGACCTTTTGGGTAGGTGGCTGAGTATATCCAATATATTAGAAAAGCCTGATTTGTAGCGTACAGGAATATGTTTTGTATTCCTTCAAATAATTTGAGTACTTTAGCTGAACTCAGAGTAGCAGCTTGTAGGTAGTTAGGGTTGGCATGCCAGCATATATTAAATATTATTACCTGAGATGCTTCATAAACATACTTAACACCACAGTTGGCTTATTTTTCAGTGCCCAGGAATATGATACCATTTTGGCTTTCAGAAGCCCAGCACCCTATTCATGAGAATTTGTCTTTTAGTGAGAGATTTCCCAGACTTTTTTTTTTTTTTTTTTTACTGGTGCTGTATAAGGAATGATCCTTTTGTGAAAGGGTAGTGCAACAGTGGTGTGTTTGTTCAGATTTGAATGAATCTAGAAATGTTTTAAGACTCTGATTATATTTCTGTATAGAATTCTGTGGAAGAAAAATGAAGTTGCAGATTATGAAGCTACAACATTTTCCATCTTCTACAACAACACTCTCTTTCTGGTCTTGGTCATCATTGCTTCATTTTTTGTGCTGAAGAATTTCAACCCCACTGTGTATCCTTTACTATTTCATAAAAACATTTTGAAGACTGCTCCCATAAGCCTTTCCTTGATAGTCATGTAGTTTCCTAATTGTTTGTGGGTTTGAGGTTTTATTTGATTGCATGTAGAGTTGACTATACTTCTCTTTGCTGACTTTGGGACATTTAGATAAGAACATCAAGCAGAGCATACCAGGGCACCTTCCCATTGTATTTGCATGTGGCTTTGGAAGTTTCAGAGGTATTGTGAAGAAGGATGGTATAGAGAAACTGTCTGGGTATTGACAATTCAATTAAATACAACTATTTGTAAAATAACAAGAGGCAGTTAACATTTATACAGAAATGTCTTAGTGCCAGGAATATATTTGGGTTTAATTTATTTCAAAATAGTCTCTGTCTTTAAGCCTTCTTCAGGCCATGGTATTTGTAGTATGTCCTAAAATTCCCATCCAGCTGAACACCACTTCACGTGCTGCTTTTCAAATTAGTACTGAATGTTTACTTCAAAAGTGTTTTGTTTTGGCATTTACAGAAGTTCAAATCCTTAACATTTTCCCTACAGAAACTACATTCTGTCTATAAGTGCATCATCTGGACTGATCGCTCTGCTGTCTACAGGATCCAAGTAGACAAAACAGTGATTAGATGTTTGTACCTCTGGGTGGGTTCAGTTTCATTGCAAAGACTTGAGGGCAGGAATATAAACATTTGCTTATAGGCTGAAAACTTAAGGGATTTTTACAGCACAGTGTAAAGTGAATGACAAAAATATTTTTGTTCTCCTAAGATGTTCTGGTGGATAGTTGGAGTGGATCAGCCTTTTTTTTTTTTTTGATTAGCAGAAAAAAGAGCATGTGAGAAGTTTAATAAACTGAACTCCTTTGAAACACTCTGTTACCACAATTGGGGTGACTGTCTAATGTTTGGAGTTTCAATAAACCCAATTGGGCTACACAGAATAGCACAGAGAATAGTTCTGCTCCAAATAAACAACAGATTCTCTTTCAAATGATGACTCTTTCTGTACAAGAGCTTCACTTAGAAAAAAAGTGACAAATCTCCCACTTTATAATTTGAAAGGTTTAATAAAAATGAAAAGAACATCCTGATTGTAGTGGCCTCTATACTCTTGATGCTATAAACTTCAGGAAGCACAGGGGGCTTCCAGTGGCAAAATGTTAGTAGGGCCTAGTATTTTATGCAAGCCTCCCTTTGCCTGTGGAATTGTGTGTTTGAGTAAAAAGTTACACTCTGGTTTAAATCAGTTCCTCATTTTAGCTAACAACCTTGATATAAAACAGAGTTTAAATTCTATTGGCAGTCATTCTGAAACAGGTGCAAATATCAATTATTCCATTTATCTCCAAGAAAATCTGGAATCCCAGAAAGATGGCTGGTTTATAGGTCAACATTGAAACCATTCTGTTGTCCCCTGGCAACGAGTGTGGCAGTGCAACCTCTACAAAAAGGTGCTGCTGACACTCGCAGAGTACCTGTGGGCGATTGCTTCTTGCCACCCCCCTGCTGCTGACACTGCTGGCGGCAGCTGCAGGCAGTCAGTGATCACTGCTGGCTGCCACTGCCAGTGGTGGCTGCGGGTGGTTGCCAACCCTTGGTACTCACCCACCACCCTGCCGCTGTGCTCCCACCGCCATGCCCCCTTCTCCCCACCCTTGCCAGCCACCAGGGGTACGCGTCATTCATGCTTCTGTTTTTCACTTTAGTTGGGTTTTCTTGCTAGTTCACTAATTGGCAGCTTCAAACAGTTCTTTTCTTCCCACACAAAAAAACTCTTCATGCCAAAACTTACAGCTAACATAATTAAGATATTACTAACCCTAAAAATGTGCATAGGGAAAGGCTATAATAGAGCATGTATAATGCTGAAATAGGAAATGGGCTACTGAACTGAACATTTGTAAACAGATTTAAT